CTGTGTGAGGAATGGGAATCTCCAAGTCAGCCTGAAGTGACTTCAACCAGTCCAGTACCATCTGCAGGGCAGAAATGACAGATTTTCAGCACAATTTTAACTGAAATGTGCTGGCTTTGGGAAACCTCGATGAGATTCCTGATGTTCTCCAGGTTTGTGGGGCTCAGAGAAGCCCCCAGCCCACCCAGCCCCCCTCAATGCTCCAAGCCTGCACACAGCTCATGGCCAAACCCTGGCAGAGAGGTGCCAGCACTAAATGGAATTGTTTGTGCAGCACCAGGCCTGGACAAAACTCAATTGCTTCAATAAAGCACTGATTGAGGGCAATAAATGATGTCTTTAAAACTCCCTCCAAGTTAGGATCCATGGAATTGGGCTCAGCAGAGGCACTGGGACCATGCAGTGCTGTCAGACTTTACTCAAACATCCTTTGTGATGTCAGGCAGACACACACTGCCCTCCTTCCATCCTCTGACTCTCCAAAGGGAGGAAATGCTGCAATCAGCCCTTGAGGGTGACCCAGGTCCCTGCCCCTCTTCCCTGAGGAACCTGCACCCATCCCATGGAGCCATCCCCTCAGGTCTCTGTGATCCCAAAGCCTCACAGCCCTACAACCACTCACAGATTCCTAATTCCTCCTCCTTGCTTCCCATACTGGGAATAACTCATCACATGCAGGATACCCTTGCTTGGACAGAGACCTTTTCTCATGAAAAAACTGATTTTAAAGAAACAGTTCCACTACAAACAATCCTGACATGGTTCCTACAGCAGGATATTTAACTCATTCACTCTGAGATCTCACTCCTGTACAAGTCACAAGATAGTGAAAAACCCCAATTTTGTAGTATAAAAGTACAAGAACCCCACAAAACACCCCCCTTTCAGTTGTGAAGGTGACACAGTGCATGTGAAAGGATGGTTAGAAATTGTTCTCCCATAGCACAGCATATTTGTTTACAGTCCAAACCCTGCTTTCCACAGCGTTCAGGCATCACTCCTGTTTTTCCCTGGTGCCTGAGTACTCGTCAATGCCTTTCACACAGGGTGACAGGGAACCATCTGCCTCCCTCCTCCTACTTGTTGCCACCTGTTCTTTTCCCAGTCCCCACATGGCAGCGTGAGCAGGGCCAGATTCCCTGGACAAGGCTGGGTTACAGCACCAAGAAACCCCAAAAGCCTCTGTTACCCCGAGGGTCTCACCCCACACACACAAAAATGCTGTAAAAGTGATGACAAGGAATGGCTCTGCTGTAATTCAGAGTATCTGCTCCATAACTGGGACATCCAGGGGCTGAGCATTGAGGATTGGAAGTAAAGCTAGCTGGGTTTGTGTGAAAATGGGGGAGGAGAGATTTGAGATTGCTGAGAAAGGCATTCCCAAAGCACAATGGAGATTCTGGGATAGGCAGGAGTCCTCCATGGGGAC